GAACAATAAAGACATTATATCATTGATATAGTACTGAAAGTAGGGCAAGATACACAGGGCCAATACTGGGCTCCAAACAATGATAATAGGCAATGATAACAATGATAGGAGTCAGTATCTTACAACTGCTATTATCAGTTCGATCACTTTACACTATCCAACAATATTAATACACAACTCATGATCTAATCCAAAAAATCAAAAGCTTGTTAAAATATTTTGTTTTCAAATTTATTTTATGCTTGCAAGTTTGGCAAACTTTTAAAGATAATGTGATAAAAAGAGAAAGATCTGAGAGGCTATTGTCCATTTGTTGCAGCGACATGCCTTTTGTAAAAGCAACAATTACTCCAAACTATCCTATAAAGAACTCACAGTCTTGTTAAGAAAGGAGCTCAAAACCTGCAGTTGCCACTCAGTGTCCACTAAGAAATTGTGGCTGTACTGAAAAACATGCATGAACCTGCGAAACAAAATGAAAGTGATGGCAAAGAGTTCCTGGCAAAAGAAAAACAGCTAGGGGGAGGATCACAGCTTATTTCAGGACTTTTGACTGTAGCAGTACATAAGTTACTCCAGCAGCTGTTTAGTTAGAATCGTCAGTGAAGATGGGCAAACCGCTCTGATTTTTTAAACTCTGAATAACCGTATAATTGCTGCGACAATGAACATCTTCTTGGTTGCAGTTCTAATCTTCTCCAGTAAGAAAATTTTAATTCAGTTAAAACATTTTTTTTTTTTTACATATTTTCTTGCTGAATTTATTATTTATATCTGGTTTACTGGTCTTTTCTTTTTTTCCCCTCCAGATGTCTCCTTCTGTGTAAAAATTATCCAGCCTCCGTTTGTATTCAGCCGTGATGGAGACCTGGTTGTAACTTTGCAGTGTGAACAAGATGATGATGAATATTACTACATGTACTGGTACAGACAAAGCAGCATTGGAAAAAATGCAGCTAGTAACATTTTCTCCTGGTAAAGATTCGTCAAGCATTGAAGCTCCTTTCCACAAATCCAAGTACACCATGTCCCGGCCTACAGTGCTCAATTCCTCTCTGCAGATACACCCTGTTAAAGCTGCAGACTCAGCTGTGTATTACTGTGCATCCAGTAGAGCACAATGGTTCAGAAAACCTCAGCAGCTTAACAACAACCCCAAAAATATATTAAAAAGGAAAGACAGGGAGGAGGGATGAATGAGGATAGTTAATTTTAAAGCATGATAGGCAACTTAAGATAAATGTAACATAAAAAAAGGAATTGGGAAATCAACTAAAAAAAAGGTGTTTAAAAAAAACAGCACAATAAACTCCCCTAGTTCATTAAAAAAGGTACAAGAACTGCCTCCCCACAGTTCATTGATGTTCCTGCAACACCACAAAGCTGATCAGTTCAGATAAGTAAGCAGGTGTCAAACACTGTAAGGTTTCCACATCCCATTTAACATTATTACCCTGTACAGTGTCTTATCTAAGTCCTTCTGTGCTCAAGTCTGCATTTTCTTATAATCACTTAATTCTGTGTGAAGCTCAACAACATGAATATCAAGTTTTTGAGAGATTATCATACACTGACCTCTACAGGGTTCATGTGGGATTACGCTTAGACGTGGTAGTTAACAGTCAGGTCTATGCACAAAGTAAAATGGTCCAAGAGTGTCGTCGGCAAGTCAAATAATTTAAGTGTTTTGAAATCTATTAAACTGAATCGTATAGATGAGAAGTGTTCTGATCTAAATATGGCACTGGTTACATGAAAGTAAAAAAATAGTGCAATGCTTATGATGCCTCATACTGTGAAAAAATATGAAGGAATGGACATGGACTATGCTTGCATTTCATGTATGTTATTAATAGTATTAATAAAAAGGACACAGTGATAAGTTCCCTGTGATGGACTGGCAACCTGTCTGGAGTGTACCCCGCCTTTCGCACGATGTCAGCTGGGATTGGCTCCAGCCCCCCGCGACCCTGTACGCAGGATAAGCGGTTGACGATGGATGGATGGACAGTGATAAGTTATGATTGTTTTTTAAATTCAGGGACAGATTACACAGTGAAAAGTGACACCTTTAACATTACAACTATGGTTGATTTGAAGTAATGTTACTCAGTAATGTGTCTCCTCAGTTCACTGACAACTGGGTGGATAAAGAGGTGTGACCAGCAGTGATGTCACTTCCTCTCAGGAGCAAAACACACAAACAAAGACCAGCTTCTCCTTTTCCTCCCCTCTGTTCTTGCTTCTTTTCTTAGCTGTCACAGAAATAGCAGCAGTCAGGTTGGAGCCCTAAAACCAGTCAGTCAGCGCGACCTGTGCAGCTGCTCTCACAGACAGAGAGAGATGGAGGCTGAGATATGGAGAGGCTGGGTGGGGGGAAGGAGAGACGGGTGAACGAAAGAGTGTTCAGGTTTTTGTGTGACGCTTTTTCATCGTGGGGACAGGGGGCCACGGTGATACAATCCTATAGAGCCGCCGTACAAAAACCTCCTCCCATTAAAACACATTGTGTAAACTGCTACATGCTACCTGGGACACTTGAAAGAGCAGGAAAATCAAAAATCTGAAGGCCGATAGGATGGCAGGACACTTTGGCATCAAAAAGTCAAATTATATACAGAAAATCTGCTGGAAAAAAGTTTTAAAAATGACTTTCAATTCATATGTAGAGCTTTTGAATGCTTCTTTAACTAAACCAGAATAACTTTGGACATTGTGAAGCTCATCCTGCAGGTTTAAACCTTCTTCATCCTCTGGATTATTAGACCGTCTCAACATGCTGATTATGAAACATTTTGTGACTTTTTGGTAGAGGAGACATTCAATGTGACACTGGATCTGAAGCTCACTTTGGAAAGGGAACAAAACTCACTGTTTTGGGTAAGTCGGAGTGTTTTCACCTTCAGTTCACTGCAACAAACGTAAAATAGATGAATTGTTGGTGTGAAAGTGAAGGAAAAAAACTGTTGTTAGGAAAAAGCTGAAATATTGAGCTGCAGTGAGAACACTGTGACCTACAATGAGCCTGCTTACTTTGGCCAAGGAACCAAACTGACGGTTTTAGGTAAAAAAAATTTGATTTATTACTGTATTTTGGTGAATGTCACTTTGCTTTAAAGACTTAAAATATGCAGAAGTATTAGTAAAAACATTCCAAAGATAATTATGGTGGAGAAAGACAAGAGTTTCATGCTCAGTATTTCTGCACTGTGACAATGTAAACGAAGCTTACTTTGGAAAAGGAACAAACTCACTGTTTTAGGTAAGTCAGAGCTTTTGCACCTTCAGTTCACTGCAACAATCTTAAAATAGTCAAAAGGTTGGTGTGAAAGTGAAGGAAAGGCTTTTAAAAAACCTGAAGTTTTGAGCTGAAGTGAGAACACTGTGACCTACACTGAACCAGCTTACTTTGGCCAAGGAACCAAACTGACCGTTTTAGGTAAATATTTCAGTTTATTATTGTATTTTAGAAGATGCCATGTTGCGCATTAGAGTCAGTGTTAACAGAGTACTAGTAAAACCTTAAAACTTATACAAGGATAATTCTGGTAGAGAAAGACACAAGAGTTTCATGCTCAGTATTTCTGCACTGTGACAGTGGAAACGAAGCTTACTTTGGAAAAGGAACAAAACTCACTGTTTTAGGTAAGTCGAAGCTTCAGCAAATTCACTTAACGGCAAAAAAACTTAACATAGCAGAATTGTTGGTATGAAAGTGAAGGAAAATGGTTTTAAAAAACTAGAAGTTTTAAGCTTAAGTAAGAACACTGTGACCAACACTCAGCCTGCTTACTTTGGCCAAGGAACCAAACTGACGTTTAGGTAAATATTTCAGTTTTTATTGTATTTTGATAAACATCACGTTGCTTTAGAGTCTTAGTGTAAACAGTATTAGTAAAAACGTGCAGAAGATAATTCTGGTAGAGAAAGTCTTGTGAGTTTTATGCTCAGTATTTCTGCACTGTGACAATGCAAACGAAGCTTACTTTGGAAAAGGAACAAAACTGACTGTTTTAGGTAAGTGAGGTGATTAAAATTGGAAAAATGTAATAACCTTTGTAATTGGAGCAGTGCATTAAGAATCATCATGTACTTGGGTCTTCATACTTAAGTTTCAGCCAAGTACTTTTTTATGTCAAGCTTAAGCGCTGTGCTAATGCTGAAGCCTATTTCGGCCAGGGAACAAAACTGACTGTTTTAGGTAAGTAAAGGGTGATTAAAATTTAAAAAATGTAGTAAGCTTTGTAATTGGAGCAGTGCATTAAGAATCATCATGTACTTGGGTCTTCATACTTAAGTTTCAGCTAAGTGCTTTTTGATGTCAAGCTTAAGCGCTGTGCCAATAGAGAAGCCTATTTCGGCCAGGGAACTAAACTGACTGTTCTTGGTAAGTAAAGCATTGAACTTTCTTCCGATTGATTCACCCCTTACAAAGACAAAAAGTAAAAGCTAAAGACGTTAAAGTAGGTCTGTTGTCAGGGGAAAAAGCTTTGTGTTGCTTAAAACTAGACTGCAGAGCAGCAAATGTTTTAGATTTAAACAATAGTGAAATTTATTACAGTAAAAACTGAAAAGCAACTAAATGTAAAGAAGCAAAGTAAAAGCAGCATCTTAAGATGTTTTGAGCACTGATCAAGTACACCGTGACACTGGTGCTAATGAAGCTTACTTTGGTGGAGGAACAAAGTTAACTGTTTTAGGTAAGAAACACATATTGTATATACAGTCCATGATAAAGTCTGTGTTGAGAAATTAGAACAAATGTATTCAGATTTGTAATTGGAGTAGTGCATTAAGAACCACAATGCTGTAGTTCTAGTTTAAGATCAGCTAAGGGCTTTTTGACGTTAAGCTTAAGCTCTGTGCCAATTACGAAGCCTATTTCGGCCAGGGAACTAAACTGACTGTTCTTGGTAAGTACTACATCAAACTTTCTTCTGTTGAATTCATCTGTAAGAGAAGTAAAACATATACAAACAGGCTGCTTGTTGAGGGAAACGGTTTTGTGTTACATTAAACCTGTAAAAAACAGACTGCAGTGTAGTGAATGTTGTTACTGGGATTGAAGAAAACTGACATTTAATACGATAAAGTAAATTTAAAACCAACCAAAATGTAAAGAAGCAAAGTAAAAGCAGCATGTTGGGCTGTTTTGAGCACTGATCAAGTGCACTGTGACTCTGGTGGTTCAGAGGCTTACTTCGGTGGAGGAACAAAGTTAACAGTTTTAGGTAAGAAACATATTTTGTATATAAAGTCTATGATAAAGTAGTTGGTAAGAAATCAGAACAAATCTGGAGTAGTTGTTTAACAGACTTATGCACTCAAACTCTTCAAAGTTTAAGTTCAGCTCAATGCTTTTTGCTCTTAAGCTTAAACGCTGTGTCAGTTTGAAGCGTATTTCGGCCAGGGAACTAAACTAACTGTTCTTGGTAAGTAACACGCCAAAATTTTGGTTTTAAATTAAATTAGATTCTTTACAAAACTAGAAGATGCATAGTGAAAGTAGCATCTTAAGATGTTTTGAGCACTGATCATGTGCACTGTGACTCTGGTGGTTATGAAGCTTACTTTGGTGGAGGAACAAAATTAACCGTTTTAGGTAAGACATCAAACAAATGGGAAACAGCAATGAAATTGGATGTTTATTTAAGAAACTTTCTGCACTCAAGTCAAGCTTAAGTTTAGATGTGAGGTTTTTGTTCTTAAGCTTAAACGCTGTGTCAGTACGAAGCCTATTTCGGCCAGGGAACTAAACTGACTGTTCTTGGTAAGTTAACATGAAGCCTAACAGGGTGGTAACTGAGAGGTTTGTGTTGAATATGTGTGGTAAAAAGACAGGCTGTAGTTGTTAAAGGAAATTACAAACAGAAACTAAAGAAGCAAAGTAAAAGTAGCATGTTCGGTTGTTTTGAGCACTGATCATGTGCACTGTGACTCTGGTGCTGGTGCAGAGGCTCACTTTGGTAAAGGAACAAAGTTAACTGTTTTAGGTAAGAAACTGTTTTAAAGTTCATTAAATATTGTTCAGGTATGATTGTGTTAAGATGTTGTTGAGACTTTAAGGCTCAGACAACTGATAAACACCAATGGTTTACCCGTTACTGTAGACTTAAAGTGCCCCAGATAAAGAGAGAAAGTAGGAAGAGGTTTTGTTACAGTTGAAAGACTCTGTGCTCCTACAATGAGGCTTTCTTTGGAGCTGGAACTAAACTCACTGTTATAGGTAAGAAATAACCCTGCAACAAAAAAAATCTCAGAGCGTGACATACAGCTATGTTTGCAATAAAGTAAAAAATCTGTATTAAAAATGTACTTTTAGACCTTGTATTTAATGCTAGTAAACAAAGTATTTTCTTTCTAAAAGTGCAAACGAAGTCATGGTGGAAGTTTGTGCTAAACAAAACAAGCCTGGTCTTTGTTCTGTAGCAATAAAACATTTGGCTCTACGCCCAGATTATTACTCTCAGAGCAAGTTGTTATCAGCTCTGTGAAACACTGTGAGTTCACAGTCAGAAGCTTATTTTGGAGCTGGAACTAAACTCACTGTTTTAGGTAAGATGATTACTAAAACTAACACAAAAATAAATGTTACATAGGATATAATGGCAAACTTGTTGGTAACTACCAGGGTAGAGATGAGGGTTGTAAGTTTATTAAGTTTAATACTGTTAGCAATTCAGACAGTTAACAGCTTTCAGGGCTGACAGTTTTTCTGTAGCCTTTGTATCAGTGTGAACAACTACGACCCTGCTTACTTTGGCAGTGGCACCAGACTGACAGTGTTGGGTAAGAACATTATAAAAATCCTACACATTATTGTTTGTCTTCTGACCATCTCTAAACTTCAATCTGAGAATTATTGTAGAGTTTAGGCTTGTAAAAATTGCTGTTTAAGGTCTTTGTAATTTCCTGAAACAGCACTGTGTTGCTGTGTAGGTCTGTAGTCGAATCTGCAAACTTTAAATGTGTTATTTATCAACTGAGATAAGTCTCTCTGTTCTCTGGAAAAAAGACTGTTTGGTCTCTGTACCAGACTCACTCCATTTATTTACAACATTTTCTCAGTTGCTAAACAGATAGTGAAGTTTTGTGTTTTCTTCCTCTCATCAAAAATAAAGGGATAATGTCAATTTAAATTAGATTAATAAGTCTATGAGTGGTATCCAAATGATTCTATTGTATATGTTCTGGTTGGTGAAAAACTACAATGCTGTTTAAAAAAAAGGGAATTCAGCCACTGAAGATCAGTTTTTTACATGCGAGTCAGTGGTGTGCTCAAGCAGTTATCCTGCTTATTTTGGAGATGGAACCAGACTAACAGTTCTTGGTAAGATCACTGCAACAAAACCAAAAATTTATCTGAAGAAATTATATTTTAACGGCATTCAGCGTGAGCTCTGAATGATCATGGTTTACTTTGGTGTTATGTTCAGTGTGAAAAAGTTCTCCTGTGTCTTTTTGCACCTCGATGTTCACGTCTAAATGGTATTAAGATATGACATGTACATCACTGTTAGGTATTACGCATTGGTTTCCTGAAGATCTACACGCAGCTTTTTTAATGTGATTTATGTCCTTTGTCCTTGCAGAAGATGGCCATAAAATTACCGCACCAACAGTAAAAGTGCTTAAACCTTCGAAAAACGAGTGTCGAAACAAAAAAGACAAAGAAAGGAGGAAGACCATTGTTTGTGTGGCCAGTGGATTCTACCCAGACCATGTCAGTGTGTCCTGGAAGCGTAACGGGGAGGATGTCACCAAAGGTGTGGCGACAGACAACGCTGCCCTGCGGGATGGAATGTTTTACAAAATCACCAGCAGGCTGAGGGTCCTTGCTGAAGATGGTTTATACCCAACAACCAATTCAGTTGCACTGTCAGCTTCTACAATGGCAGTGATAATATCAATTATACAGCGTCAATTAATGGTGAAGAAGGTATGTGTTCATTTGGAACTCAGAAATTACCTAAACATGATCTTTTTGCTGCTGGAAATTCATGTAAATAATCAATTTAATTTGTCTAATCCATTTCTTAGCTAAAAATACAGGAACCACCATAACAAGAGGTAAATATATTATTTTGTGTTCTCAATTTATCATCACACAGAAACATTTAGTGTCCTACATATTTGAAAAAATATGCACATGATAGTAATCATTAACATATATGTAACCTATGTTGTATATGTAACCTATATATGTAGGTATATATAAAAAATGTCTCTGGATATGTCTTCGTTGAATCAATTCACTTATATAAATATTTGAACTTTCTGCAGAGCAATATTTGAAGGTCACACAGACTGGCAAACTCTCCTATGTCGTTTTCATCATCAAGAGCTGCATCTATGGAGTCTTTGTTGGGTTTTTGGTGTGGAAGCTTCAGGTTTGTTCTACACAATGTATCATGTGACTTGTTTCTGCTGCTTATCATGTTTGATTTACTGCACTTGACATAAAAACAGACCTTGTACATTTGAATGTGAAGGAACAAGTATGAAAAGAGCTCATGACATTGTGTCTTTTCTGTCTGTTGCAGGGTTCAGCTGGAAAGCAGAACATCTGAGAGATGACCTGAACAAATAGATTCCTGGAGATCAATAGTGTCGGTTTCTGTAAATACAAGGTTGAAAACATGAAATTATATTTTCATGACTTTAGATGTTGCACTGCATTCGTGTTTGTTAGTCAATCAGATTCTGCTAAAATAGTTCTGTACATATTTTTGTTACAGTCTTAAAGCTAATTTGGCATCATACTTGTATAAATGGTTAATTCTGTGTTTGTGGTTGTGAATCGCTTATTTGCTTAATTTTCTTCTCAATAAAAGTGTTTCAGAGAATCTTGTTTACCATGTGCTTGCATTTGTTTAGTTTGTTTAGTGACTAACTGAGTTTCATGATTCTCATGACATCTCCAGACAGAGAAACTTTATTCACATTCAGTGTATTTCTAAACCAGAGAGGTGCGTCGGTTGATCTAATGTTGCTCTAAATTGTTGCCAACAGTGCTGATTACATGTGGGCAGAAACCATCCTCCCCTCAGCGCTCTCATATCTTATCCTACACTGAACATCACTTTTTCCACAGATAGTGTGAGGTATTTTTAGCTGCTCACTTATCTGCCTAGTTTCTGAGAAAGAAACTATTTTTCACCAACATTCTTAACGCTGGAACATCTTAGCTCAGAAAAACTTCACAAGCTCTCATTTGGTTATTAACAAGTTTTTCCAATGAGCAAAACTGAGAAGTGACTCAAGTTTCACCAGTGACATTTGATTAATAAATTAAATTCCATCACCAAATCTGTTTTTCAACATCTTTAAAGAAATCATTTGACCAGATTAAAGTAAGTTCATTTAATTCATATCTAGTTTTTCCACTTTGCCCAAATGAGAGCAGTGTTTTACAGTTTACATTCTCTTGATGAATAAAGAAGTCATTCCTTTAGTTCAAACACTGTCACAAGGAAAGTAAATGTGAGAGAGTGAGTCTACCGCAGAACAACAGGAAATCAACATTCTCGTCTGTGTACAGAAGAAGGTCAAAGCTGTTGTTGGAGAGGAAGACAAACTGGGGCTCGAAACCCTGCAGAGGAGGAGAGCAACAGCAGAGCAGAGGATGTGGTCACAGAGCAGCTTGCAGATCGTTCTGTGCTGAGAAATGACAAAGGTGCAACCTTCCAATTTACCACAACCTCCGGCTCGCAGGGTGCACCTGCATCTCTGCACTGCACATCTCTGAGCAAACAGCTGGGAAAACTTCCATTTCTGTGTCAACTGAAGTTTTCAAAATGAACCTAAGTGTGTCTTATATTGCATACAACAGCTGTTTACTGTGATCTGGTGCAGTAAATCAGACATAAAATTCATTTTTATCACCAGTAATGTATTATAAACAAAATAATAATTAATAAATAAATAATCAAAAAGTTGATTTATTTTAGTAATTCCATTCAGAAAGTGAAACTTGGATATTATATTCATTCATTACACACACTGGCATATTTCAAATGTTTATTTCATTAAATTGTGATCATTAAAACTGACAACTAATGAAAATCCCAAATTCAGTATCTCTGAAAATTAGAATATTACTTAAGACCAATACAAAAAAAGGATTTTTAGAAATGTTGGCCAACTGAAAAGTATGAACATGAAAAGTATGAGCATGTACAGCACTCAATACTTAGTTGGGGCTCCTTTTGCCTGAATTACTGCAGCAATGCGGCGTGGCATGGAGTCAATCAGTCTGTGGCACTGCTCAGGTGTTATGAGAGCCCAGGTTGCTCTGATAGTGGCCTTCAGCTCTTCTGCATTGTTGGGTCTGGCGTATCGCATCTTCCTCTTCACAATACCCCATAGATTGTCTGTAGGGTTAAGGTCAGGCCAGTTTGCTGGCCAATTAAGAACAGGGATACCATGGTCCTTAAACCAGGTACTGGTAGCTTTGGCACTGTGTGCAGGTGCCAAGTCCTGTTGGAACATAAAATCTGCATCTCCATAAAGTTGGTCAGCAGCAGGAAGCATGAAGTGCTCTAAAACTTCCTGGTAGACGGCTGCGTTGACCTTGGACCTCAGAAAACACAGTGGACCAACACCAGCAGATGGCATGGCACCCCAAACCATCACTGACTGTGGAAACTTTACACTGGACTTCAAGCAATGTGGATTCTGTGCCTCTCCTCTCTTCCTCCAGACTCTGGGACCTTGATTTCCAAAGGAAATGCAAAATTTACTATTCATCAGAGAACATAACTTTGGACCACTCAGCAGCAGTCCAGTCCTTTCTGTCTTTAGCCCAGGCGAGACGCTTCTGACACTGGGTCTTGTTCAAGAGTAGCTTGACACAAGGAATGTGACAGCTGAAACCCATGTCTTGCATACATCTGTGCGTGGTGGTTCTTGAAGCACTGGAGGACTCCAGCGGCAGTCCACTCTTTGTGAATCTCCCCAACATTTTTGAATGGGTTTTGTTTCACAATCCTCTCCAGGGTGCGGTTATTCCTATTGTTTGTACACTTTTTTCTACCACATCTTTTCCTTCCCTCGCCTCTCTATTAATGTGCTTGGACACAGAGCTTTGTGTCATCCAACCTCTTTAGCAATGACCTTTTGTGTCTTGCCCTCCTTGTGCAAGGTGTCAATGGTCGTCTTTTGGACAGCTGTCAAGTCAGCAGTCTTCCCCATGATTGTGTAGCCTACAGAACTAGACTGAGAGACCATTTAAAGGCCTTTTGAGTTAATTAGCTGATTAGAGTGTGGCACCAGGTGTCTTCAATATTGAACCTTTTCACAATATTGAAATTTTCTGAGATACTGATTTGGGGGTTTTCATTAGTTGGAATGAACACTCTATCTGTGTGGAATGAATATATACATTATACAAGTTTCACTTTTTGAATGGAACTACTGAAATAAATCAACTTTTTGATGATATTCTAATTATATGACCAGCACCTGTATTTGAGGCATATAAAGAAAGGGTCATTAACTAAAGGCTTCTGTCTAAACTGTAAGCAACATTTGTCTTTTGTCTCAGTAAAGAATCCAGCAGGAGCCAAAGTGAGAAAGAACAAGTTCTACTTTCTATATTTGCTTCTTTGAATAACATGTTTGTGCAAACTCAGATCAGATAAACAGGAAACGTCTGTGAAGCTGCAACAGAAACGTGGTGTGTCCGACATCTGTGAGCTAGATAATTATAGGTCCTCCTGCAAACTCTGACATTTGTAAGTTGTTTTCTTCTTTCATACTTCAACTTCATACTCTCTTTTAAAGTCTTAGAACCCATACATTTAAATAGGTATGAGGTCATAACAGGTCACAGTAAATGCAAGGCAAAAATGATACGTTCCTTTTTAATAAATCATATTTCAAGATATAAACCAAGTGAGCAACATGCAATTTGAGATAATAAGGAAGGCATTTTCATAGTGGCATTTTGTGCTGGACCTAAACTATACTGCTGATCCAAACCTGAAGACTACAGGATGAAACCTTAGACCTGCTGCAACAAAAGCATCCAAACAGTATAGAGCCATCATGCTGAGAGAGGTAACAGCCACATTGAAGAGGCGTTTTCAGTTTCAATCTTATGGTTGTTCTTAAAACCATCATTATCACAATAGGAAAATATTCATCACAACTGAAATAGATTAAAACAAAGATGTCAGGAAATCTTACTTCATAAGGAAGTATTTCTTGGAAATAGAAAACCATCTTATAATAGCAATAATTGTAAACATATATAATCTCTATATCTGTGACATCACTCGCCTTACTTATACTAGTGAGCAATCGTCCAATAGTAAAAAAAGGGCTGGAAAAATCTTTGGGCCTTCTTCCGAGCATTTTCACTATGTGCGAATGTACAAGTACTTTGGTATTTTAACTGATGATCAGCTATCTTGTAAATTGCCCACTGACAAACTTGTACAAAAGCACAAACTAAAAATAGGGTTTTATTTTAGATATTAGTTTTTCTTTAACAACTAAGAAGAGATTGGTTGCTCCAACTTTTCTCACTGCACTTGATTGCTATGATCTGCCTATGGAAATGCACTTAACTGACTGTTTATCCTTGTTGGATGTGTGACTGGATGTAAAGCTTTTTAAACACCTTGCACAAAATGACAAACTTGCCTTCATCATCAATGAAGAGGCACACATGGGCTTATTTTTATTTTATTTTATTTTATTTACAAGTCTATCCTTGTTATGTTCCCCTCTTATCTTTGCATTTATATGTCTCGCAACACTAGTTCCTATAATTTGCGCTCTGGTGTCCTGTATATGTTGTCTGTACCTAGGGTCCGTACAGAGCTTGGTAAGAGGGCCACCAGTTTATCCCACAGGATCTTAGCTCGGTCATTCTCAACTACCTTAGCCCGTCTTCCATTTTGACCTTGGGACTTCCAGCTCATACTCAAGGCAGATGTTCCTGTACACTATGACAGCTACCTGGTTATGGCGTTCCATGTACGCACTTCCTTCCAGCATCTTATACTCTGCTGTTATGTGCTGTACTGTCTTAGGGGCATCCTTGCACAGTCTGCACCTGGGGTCCTGCCTGGTATGGTAGACCCCAGCCTCTATTGATCTTGTACTGAGTGTCTGTTCTTGTGCCGCCATGATTAGTGCTTCTGTGCTATCCTTTAGTCCAGCCTTTTCCAGCCACTGGTAGGATTTCTTCATATCAGCCACTTCTATTTGTCTGTGGTACATGCCGTGCAGCGGCTTGTCCCTCCATGAAGGTTCTTCATCTTCCTTGTCCTCACCCTTGGGTTTCTGCTGCCTGAGGTATTCACTAAGCCCTTCATCTTTGGGGGCCATCTTCCTGATGTACTCCTGGATCTTCGTCGTTTCATCCTGGACAGTGGTCTTGACACTCACAAGCCCTCGTCCTCCCTCACTACGCTTGGTGAACAGTCTCAGGGTGCTACTATCTATCTATCCATCTATCCATATATATATATATAAATAAAAAAAAAAAAAAAAAAGAAAAACTAGATTGAAACTTTGAATAGACAGCAATTCAATGACCATTTCTCAGTGGTAGGTTTATACACTTTAGAAACTAGATACACATGTTCAGTTTTAAGCTGCTGATTATACATTTAATTTGTCACGTTGAATGACCCTTTGTGGTCCCAACAGAATATCTGAGTAGAATTGATACACAGCAAATAAGGTCCACCCAGATTTTATAAAAATATTTTTATTATCATATAATTACAAAGCTAAATCATACACAGTTCAAGAATGAAGAGAAACTCCTCATGTGTGACAGAATCAGAACCAAGAACAACACTGTATAAATGAAATGTCATAATATTGATTAAAAGAAAAAAGTAGTTGGCTATACAGTGCAGCAGATGTGGAGCAATGTCACAAGTGACGAGTTTGCTGAATTTATACAATTTAAATCCTTAAACCTGAGAGGTAAATCATCATGTTTCTCCAGAAAACAGAACAGGTTTGGTAAGTTCAATGAGTAATAACTCATTTTAAAGATTTTAAATCTGATGCTGACTTCATCATAGTTAACCGACTTCACTTCTAAATCTCTGTAGTATCATACCATCAGTTCAAATATATTATTCTGGACGTACCCAGGTGATGAATAGATAGAGTACAGGAGCACTGGAAATGAAATCCATTTAAAACTCAGCACTGAATGAGCATCATGGAGTCTATAATCATCACTGACCTCTACTGGAGACTCTGAAATTACAACATCAATAGAACCGGTTCCCAGTAGACATCTCTGGGAAATCATAACGGACACACCGTAAACTGGGGCTTTATTATGGGTCTGTTGTGTTACAGGTTGGTCTAAGATTGGCCTATGTTAAGAGCATCTCCTTGTCTATTTAGATGTCTACACTCACACACACAAAAAACAATAGTTAAACCACGTTTGTGAACCCATGAAGATGTAATGCTACATATACACCAGAAATCTAAACTGTTGTAAGTGAGGAATATTTTTGACTTTCCTACATTGTTACCACACATGGGGCTCACACTCAGTTTGTCAGGTTCAGGTCTTCACTGTGAGACTGCCCACAGATCATCAGTCTAAACTGCAATAGTATATTAGTATATACTTTGTGTTAGCATGTATGTTAGCCACAATTGTATGTTAACATACTCAACTTCACCATGTTAGCATGCAGGTACTCTAATGTATGTAAATAATATCATGTATTTAGCATGAATGCAAAGATGTGAATAAAACTTAACTTTGGACACTGAGTTGCAACTGGTCTGGCTCCTGCTGCTGCTGATTGGAGGAGGATGTTCACGTGTAGACCCATAGTGAAGACACAGCTGGCCGACTGTCAGGGGGCCACCTGCTGGATAATCCTGCAACACAACAGACAGGAAGAGTTGTAATACAATCAAGGTATAAACCTGTGAACCCTGATTTGAAGTAATATGCCTTTCAATCACATTCAGACAAAAGAATATGATTTACCACTTCATAAGGCTAAATGTATAACTGCATCCAGTCTGCAGTTGTATAAATATAAATATCATCACTTTCAGATCAAACTGACCATTGGAGGAGTTTTCCTGATGAATTCAAAAACTGTTTTTTACATTACAGCTAACATTATTTGATTATATGATTGATTATTATAGGATACATTTCTGTGAAATGAAAAAATTACTTTTCACTTCACAAATCCAGTCAGTGAATGTGCTGTATGTTTCACACCAGCAGGGGAAGACATAACTTCATTAAATTAAAAAAGCTTAACAGCTTGCACTCTTATTGACAATCTAAACAGTGTTACTCCCTGATGATGAAGTTTGCTTCAGATAAGTGCTCTCGTCCTTTAACATGTTTTTACTGGGCTTCATATTTTGCTTCTTTCATCTGCCATGGATGAAGGGTGAGAAAAAAGTTTTACCATTAAAGGGGCTATATGTTTTTCAATGAAATTAATCAAATTTTCATTGCCTTATAGTTAATGGGCTCAAAACTCACTTGTAAATGAAGCACACGCCTGTTTTCTCCGTTGCTTGCATCATCACTATTCTGCTTTTAATGGAGTGTCTCCGGTTCGGATTTAGCCCTGTACACGCTCCCGAGCCTCTCTCTATATCATCAGCTTAAGTGTCTTGCTCAGGGACACATTGGTGGATGTGTCACAGTTGGGAATTAAACCTGGGTCTCTCATACCAAAAGGCATGCGTCTTAAGCTGATGATACACGGGGCAACTTTTTGAGCAATGTTGCTGGGCAATGTTGCTAGTGGCAAGTCTGACTGTGTTTTGAACGGATAGTGGCGGTGCGGGGCGGGTGGCGGAGTGGTGGCGGAAGGGGATTAAGGTAGTAATTTTTACTCATTACCATTGACGGCAACGTTGCCCTGCACGATTGCTCTAAAAGTTGCTCTGTGTATCATCAGCTTTATCCATTGGGCAATCACCACCCACCATTTGTATACTCCATTACAAACGAAAACAATAAAAACAACTCTTCTGGAATATCCGAAAATAAATATTGTAAATCCCGAGGACAATGTAAAAGGAAAAATCAGCTTTGATGGACATTGTCAGTTTGGGCTAGGGCTGCATGATTTGGAGAAAAGGTCATATTGCAATGCTGATATAATGAAACAAATGCGACCATAAGTCTACTTGCTTTATTATCAAGGAAAATGCACAAAACTTTTTGAAATTCTCAAATGTTGATTTCTTAAATTGAACAAAGTTAAAAAAGCATAAGAAAAAACAGCACTTTTTGGCCTAGGGCTGGACGATATGGCCAAAAATGTTATCACGATAAAAAGTTTCATATCTTTCGATATCGATAATGGATGGCTTCACAAATCTGAGGTAGAACATTCAAAACAATTACGATAAATGTCAACAAATGAGTAAAATTAAGTACAAGCTTTTTTCAGTTTTTTCAGCAAAATAAATGATTCAAGTGAATAAAATCAAACATTTATTGAACATTTGTTATATTGTTATGGAAAAAATATATATAGTGATAATTATTGCTGGTGTTTTGTTGTCCAGCCCTATTTTGGCCACCACTGCAAAAACAGTGATTTTGCCACACTGTAAACAGCTTTTCAATCCACTCATCACAGAAAACTACTGTGATTTGTGCTTTGCAGCCTGTGGCATGTGTGCCTTGCAGCTTTTGAACCAGGACCAGATAGACGATACACTAGCACCACCCACGCCACGCTTTATGTAGACAAGACCACTGAACAATATTTATAACAATAACTTTAGTTAGAACAGAACAAGGGGAACGTGTTGCTGTCAGAGGAGGCTGCCAGAAGGAGCACATGTTGGTGCACTGGCTAAATCGACATCTGTCCACTGCAGAGGCTCTATCCACAACCTGGAGGAGGAACTAGGCCTAGAATAAAGTATAATGTTCATTTTATAGTATACTGTTGGTACAATGTTATATTATATAATGTTAATATATTCATAATAATTTCAAGTTTCACTATTTCCAGTATTTCATTAAATGACGATGAGTGGTGTATTTATGTGCAGCAGGCTGTTCTCATGTCAATATAAAAACTGCATGTTCAGGCTCCTGAACACCTGCAGCTTTGAAGATATCAACAGTTTTGACACAATCTGAGGAAAAAACTGACAACACACATTCTTGGTTACTGATTGTTTTAGCTTTTGGCAAATATATTATATACAATTATTTATTTTTGTTGAACTTAGATAATATCTGAAAGAAGAGGGGGCTGATAAAAGGAAAAAAGTTTATAGAAGTCAAAACACCAGCAACACTTGTTCTGTAGTCTACAGAACAACTTTATTGTTATACCAATGTATTTCGTGGCCATTACTAAGGTCGACATGAAACCAATTACAAACAATATTAAATAGGGTAAAGAAGGTTAAAAGAAAGTATATCCAGCTAGATCACATCATCTCTCATCTTTATAAAATGTACTTGATTTGGATTATAACCAAATACTGTACATCACCTCATCACACCAGGTCTCTTCAGCTTATCAGTGTTACTGATGAGAATTAAAGTCAATGCAGAATGATGTACTGTAGGGGGACCCCCAGTGCCACATATACAACCATACTGAAGACTTCGATAGAACAGCTCAAAAGGATCACATCACACAACGCAGTGACACTCCCACCTGCAGGTCTTCATTTCAAGTAAATGAGACTCTGGTAGTTTCTGTCAGACAGAACATGTACATCATTGTCACTAATCGAGGCCTCCTCAGATTGTTGGTCTTTGTGCTGTGCACTACAGGTAATTTACAATTATATCAACTTTATAAAATACAAGACGACAAACTTATTTTCATGTTTTTCTATTACTTAATCTTATTTTGCTGTGGTGTAAGAATAGCAGAATCCATCAACAAATGTTCACTTCAGTATCCTTTACTGTTAAACATACAGGTCTTATTGGTGGGAGTGACGTCAAACAGACTGACAAACTGTGGATACACAAGGGTGACAATGCAACAATAAGCTGCAGCCACACCAAGGGTGCTGGCTACAACCAGATGTACTGGTACCGACAGCTGCAAGGAGAAGCAATGAAACAAATAGTGTTCACAACAACTGTCAGCAAAGTTCACGACTTTGGAGAATTCAGCAAAGAGAAATTCTCAGCCACTAAACCTAATGCTGAGAGTGGAACATTCACTGTGAAGAATCTGGTCCCAGAAGATAAAGGCTTGTACTTCTGTGCTGTTAGTGAGCACAGTGATACAGACACGTGTGGAAGCTGAACAAAAACCCCAGTGCACTGTCAACATAAGTGTTACCAACAAGGTTTTATTTCTTGTACTGTAGGGGGACCTCAAGGAGCAGAAACTGTCCCGCTTACAGTTTGATTCACCATGTGGATTTTGACACAGCAGCTTACAGGATCAGAGAACATCACACTATTTCTCTTCACCGCACTGACAAATACCGTATATATTGAGGCTAGGGGTGGGAATCACCAGAGGTCCCTTGATACGATATTATCACGATATTTATGTTGCAATTCAATTTTATTGCAATTTTATTACAATTTATTACCTTTTTCCATCTTCCAATTAGGTCCCTAAAATCAAACTTTGTCAAAATCTGTTTATCTAAAAAGATCCATATCTCTGTTTGTTCATATCACTTTTTCAGTCCTCTATATGAAATTTTTTTTTTTTTTAAATCAATAAATTTTATTATTCTAGTACCAAAAATTTAAAAACTCCCATCTGCAATTTATATAATAATATATTGATACTTGGCATCTGTGTATCGATACAGTATTGCCATGGGAAATATCACGATACTGTGCTGTATCGATTTTTTCTACCACCCCTAATTGGGACAATGACATAATAAAAATTGTCTCCTCAGATTGTTAATAATTCTACTCTAAAAAGGTAAAGATTGAATTTTTTTTTTTTTTTTCTATAAAATTACAATATATCACAGCATGACAGCAATGCGTCTGAGACCAAATACAATAATTCCAGTTCAATTATATCGCGCCAATTGACCCTTCGCTAAGCCACACCCCGAATACACAGCTGGACAATCAGAGAAGTACAGGACTGTATTTTTACAAGATATGGTCAAAGTTGTTCCTGGGGCACTTTCAATAGTTACAATATCTACCCAGGGAGGTTGAAAGGAGAAGTACGATTTGTTCACTTTCCAAAACCTAAAACAAATCCAGAAAAATGTAGGCTGTGTGTTGTTCCTAATGTGATTACTGTGATTACTAATGTGTTACTTAGCGAACACTGGCCATCTTACTACTGAATGTAACGTTATATAACCCAACTATTTGCTGCTTTTTTATGACTGGCTAGGACTCAGAGTCCTATCTAACTGTACAGGAGCAGTGTTGATCCTTAATATAGTTGTCCTCTTTCTCAATAGTCAGGTAATGCGGCATTAGCTTCCATCATTTGTTTTTTTTCATGTCAGTTTGACAGCCTGAATACAGCCTTCAAATGCACGATGCAACTGCAAAACTGTCTTCCAAAAAAATTAGACAATATTTCTCCAGGGAGTGCAGTAATAAACAGTGGCAGCACCGTGATAAAAGTCCGACAGGTACGCCGGTTTGTCGGACTTAGCAACAGTAACTAAGGGGGGCGTACCTTAGCGAAGGGTCAATTGATAACAAAAGTTATCTTATTGTACTTTTCATATGATGCAGGTCTAGACCATACTCTGTGTTTATTTACACATAACAGATTTTTAATGCAATTAACTATATATGTTCCACTTTTATGCATTACAGCAAAACTAACAATGGAATTATTAATTTTTCTCTACAGAATTTTGTAAACTATTAGCAACAGCGTGTGACCCTATCATCATGATATTTTTCTACTGAAAGTCTAGAACTGAAATTCTCAGCCACCAAGCCTGACACCCACAGTAGGACATTCACTGTGAAGAATCTGGTGCAACAAGATAAATGCTTTCATTTCTTTAAAGCTCGAGATGAAAAAAAAACAAAAACTGCTGTACTGCTCTACTGTAGGGGGACCTCAAGTACAACCAGAGATCATCATAATACAGCGACACTTCCACCTCTAACTCTTCGTATCTCCGTTATGTCACACCTCCCATCACTCAGACTGACAGTCACTGTCACTCTGGATCATTTTGCTCAGAACACAATAATGATCACAGCTGGTCTGATCAAACTCTCTGCAGCTCTGCTCTGTATTATGGGTAATGTACATTATGATGCTGAGCACTGAGAAAAGTTACTGCAACTTTAAATTCATACTAATGATTTTATGTTGATCTTTCTGTCAGCATGCAGAGCAGGTGTTGGTGGTCCTGTTACATGACGTCTGATTTTTGACCTCCGCAGGTCTGATTGATGGGAGTGATGTCACCCAGACCCCCCTTCTACTGTGGGGGTATGTGGATCAGACTGCCACAATGAACTGCAGTCACACTAAGGGAAGTACATATCGACAGATGTACTGGTACAGACAGCTACCAGGACAGGCAATGAGGCAAATAGTCTTCACAACTGCATACAGCGCTCATGAATATCAAAATGGCTTCAGTGAGGACAGATTTCCTGCAAAGAAGAACAATGCTGAGACTGGATCTTTGACAGTGAAGAAGCTGCTGTCTGAGGACAGTGGAGTGTATTTTTGTGCCGTGAGTGAACACAGTGATACAGGTGACTTAGACAGCTGTACAAATACCCAACTGCTGGTGTCACTGTCAAGAATAAAAGACAGCTGTCTCTTTAATGAACTGTAGAGGGAACCATACACAAATGGTTACACTAATCTTTAGATAGATCTTATCTTTCATCATGTTACGTGTCTTATTTATTAATTTTTCTGTTTAAAAATGTAATTGCATTACTTTTTATTATCTCAATTTGATTAAATGTGTCTCTTTAATGTGTGGTGATTTTCATTTTTTATTTATTTTTTTCCCCTTTTAAACTTTTATCTAGAATCATTTTACTGTTTTTGTCGACCCTAAATTCATTAATCTTGTGTTTCCAACTTTATCAACCTTTCCAAAACTGTACTGGGCCCTATTATGATGTCAACAATCGTAGTATTGTATTCTGTGGCAGACTAACAAGTATAACTGCCTGGATACTGAAAATAAAACAAATCTATAAACCACCATCAACTTGATGTATAGTATACTGGCAAAGAAAGTGAACAGCACCTGGAACCAATTGCTCACAAATATGTTTTCATCACACCGTTTTACATTCATAATATACTTAACGTTAATAAAGACATGTTTTATGAGTTACACGTCAATTGACTGCATGTAGAGCCTGATCTTTCAACATTCTGAAAGATGTGTTAAATTCAAGACATCTAACATCGGAAGTTGCCTCCTCAGCTTGTCAGTATTACTGTTCGGGATGTAGGAGGACCCCCAGTACCACTTGATATCTACCCATCAACAGGCAATGTATACAGCAGCTTACAGGATAAGAGAACGTCACATACTGCAGAGACACACCTACCTGCGACTCTTCATCTCTGTGTGACTACACTGACAGATGTATATGAACCTCTCAGTTTTAGAACATGGACATTATTAAACACAGTCTCCTCAGCTTGTTGGTATTTGTGCTTTGGATACAAGGTTAGGTACGGTCATATCAGCAATTTTATTTCAGCAATCAAATAACCACTTATGGTAACTTTTACGGTTTTACACACAGGTCTTACTGATGGGAGTGATGTCAAACAGACTTCAATACTGTGGGAGAAAGAGGGCGAGAATTCAACAATACACTGCAGTCACACGAAGGGTGCTAGCTACGACCAGATGTACTGGTACAGACAGCTACCAGGGCAGGCAATGAGGCAAATAGTCTTCACAACTGCATACAGCGCTCATGAATATCAAAATGGCTTCAGTGAGTACAGATTTCCTGCAAAGAAGACCGATGCTGAAACTGGATCTTTGACAGTGAAGAAGCTGCTGTCTGAGGACAGTGGAGTGTATTTTTGTGCCGTGAGTGAACACAGTGATACAGCTGACTAAGACAGCTGTACAAATACCCAACTGCTGGTGTCACTGTCAAGAATAAAAGACAGCTGTCTCTTTAATGAACTGTAGAGGGAACCATACACAAATGGATATACTTATCTTTAGACCCAGATGATAAAAATATTCCTTAACTTTTGTTTAACATTTAATTTTATGTTTTTTTGACCTGTGCAATACTGCCTTATGACCATTATGCTAAACTATTTATCCCCATGAAGAAGTGACTTTATAAACGTATTTAAAATGAACATAATGTGTAATAACAGCACAATAGCAAAGAAAAACTGAGTTCAGCCTGGTAGTGAGACGTTAGAAATTTTTATTTTCTGTTTTATTTTTCATCGTATTACACTTTATTTAATGCATTTATTTTTATCATCTCAATTAAATAAAAAACTTCTCTTTAATTCATGTTGTGATGATCATTGCTTTTGAATTTATGCTGTCCATTTTCCCCCTTTTAACCTTTCATTTATCTAGAATTATTTTACTGTTTGTCGACCCTAAATTCATTCAAGTTTGGGAAAGGCTGATAAAGTAGGAAACACAAACTGTGTAGGGCCCTACTTGATGTCAACTATAGCAGTATTGTATTCTGTGGCAGGCTCCAACAAGTGTAATTACCTGAATAATGAAAATAAAACATATCTATTAACCACCATCAACTTGGTGAATAGTATACTGGCAAAGAAAGTGAACAGCACCTTGAACCAACCTTAAATGACTTACAAATGTTAATAAATCAAAATAATGTTTTAATGAGTTACACGTTAGTCGACTGCATGTACAGGCTGATCTTTCAACATTTTGAAAGATGTATTAAATTCAGTACACCACACAAACGTTACCTCCTCAGCTTGTCAGTATTACTGATCTGGATGTAGTAGGATCTACCGATCGACACTTCAACTGGCAATGAATTTATTTAACATCCCACACAATGCAGAGAGCCACACCTACCTGCGATTCTTCATCTCACTGACAGATGTATATGACACTCAGTTTTAGAACATGGACATTATTAAACACCTTCTCCTCAGCTTGTTGGTATTTGTGTTCTGGATACAAGGTTAAGTACTGGTGTATCAGCAATTCTATTTCAGCAATAAAATATTCACTAAAGGTAACTTCTACTTTTATACACACAGGTCTATCTGATGGAAGTGATGTCAACCAGACTGCCATACTGTGGGAGAAAGAGGGCAAGAATGCAATAATACACTGCAGACACACCAAGGGTGCTGGCTACAACCAGATGTACTGGTACAGACAGCTACCAGGGCAGGCAATGAAACAAATAGTGTACACAACACTCGGCAAAGATGATCACGACTTTGGAGATTTTAGCAAAGAGAAATTCTCAGCTACCAAGCCTGACGGTGACAGTGGGACATTCACTGTGAAGAATCTGGTGCCAGAAGATAACGGCTTGTATTTCTGTGCTGTGAGTCAACACAGTGATACAGACGCATGTGAAAGCTGAACAAAAACCTCAGTGCTCTGTTAGCACAACTTTAACCTTCACATTTTACCTGCTCTACTGTAGGGGGACCTCAAGTACAACCACAGATCATCCCATTATACAGTGACACTCCCACCTCTAACTCTGTTGTAACGTCACACCTCCCATCACTCAGACTGACAGTCACTCTGGTCTCCCAGATCATTTTGCTCAGAACACAATAATGATCACAGCTGGTCTGATCAAACTCTCTGCAGCTCTGCTCTGTATTATAGGTAATGTACGTTATGACGCTGAGCACTGAGAAGAGTTCGTGCAGCTTTAAATTCATACTAATGATTTTATGTCTTTTATGTATATGATCTTTCCGTCAGCATGCAGCGCAGGTGTTGGTGGTCCTGTAACATGGCGTGTGATTTTTGACCCCCGCAGGTCTAATTGATGGGAGTGATGTCACCCAGACTCCCCTTCTGCTGTGGTGGTATGCTGGGCAGTCTGCAACAATGAACTGCAGTCACACTAAGGATGCTAGTTTTTTCCAGATGTACTGGTACAGACAGCTACCAGGGCAGAGGATGAAGGAAATAGTTTTCACGACTACAACTCCTCCACATAAGTATCAAAGTGGCTTCAGTGAAGAAAAATTCCCAGCAACAAAGAACAATGCTGAGACTGGATCTTTGACAGTGAAGAAGCTGCTGTCTGAGGACAGTGGAGTGTATTTCTGTGCTGTGAGTAAACACAGTGATACAGGTGACTCAGACAGCTGTACAAATACCCAACTGCTGGTGTCACAATGATTTGAAGACATCAGGGTCGAAAGGGAAGCTCGAGACCTGTGAACGATGTAATATTTTATGTCAGTATTCAGAATGATTTACAATAATAATATGAAATTGTCCCACCATGCACTCCATACTACTGAACATGCCGATTTAATTATTACTATATTTAATTACATTCCTTTGAATTCCTGTAAAATTGTATACACCTTAAAATTTTCACTATAAATCTTTCTGATTCGACTATGTGATGCTTTAATAAAAAATTTAAAAAATCATGTTCCCTACTTTTCAATCATTACCTGTAATGTATTGTGTGATAGACAAATGACTGAATCTAGAATAAAAAACATTTACCAACAAACCACCATAACCTCTGTGTTCACTGTCAAAGTTAGTGACTTGCTTCTGGAAGCAACAGAACCCAAGCATTATCAGAAATGATTCATTACACGGTTTCCTGGTAGATGAAAATAGCAAAAAGTTCTCACATTCCTGAAGTGGGAACCAGCAAATCCAAATGTTTGGATTTCTTTGTCTTAAATTTGTCTGTAAATTATTTTGCTTACAGGGTTGGGGTGATTTTTCTCTGTTGATCAACTTACTGAGTAATATACCATATAAAGTACATTTTCACAAGGAAGCTTCTTGAACATATGTAAATCTCTGTCTCCTCCCCTCTAAGCTAATCCCTTAATATATCTCTCCAGTCTGTCAGTCAATGCAGAGAGAGAGGAAGATAAAGACATCATGATCAGAAACCTCTACAGGATCACTCTGCTGCTCCTCTGGCTCTCCTGTAGGTTTCAATTCAGACTGTTTGCTAAAAGTTAGACTCATTGTTTGGAACCATTTCTGTTTTCTTAATGTTTTTCTCTTTAACTGCAGGTCGTTCACTGAGCAGTCAAGTCTATCAGGTTCCATCATCAATAACTGGAAATCCTCATGGTTTAACAACAATCAGCTGTAACCATTCAATCAGTTCATATAATGTAATACTGTGGTATCAGAGGCCAACAGGCGACTCTGCCCTTAAACTCATTGGATATATTCAATATACTAACCCAGTCCTTGAGGATACATTCAAACAACATTTCAACGTGACAGGAGATGGATCACTGAACTCTAAACTTCATATACTAAAACTCAGACAGCCAGAAGACAGCGGCATGTATTACTGTGCAGCTAGTAGGCACAGTGACTCCATTTCACTCTCGCCTCTACAAAAACCCTCTCTGATAATCAGCCTCATAAATTCACACTGAAGAAGAAGAGCACACCTGCATCTAACTGCAGCATGTGGTAGGAAATCACCTCTGAACCTTAAAACAGTAATTTCCTGTGTTAACTAACACAGCAGGATCCTGTACAAAAGCAACGATGAAGACATGTGACGGTACATAATGTCGACCCCTCCTCCTCCTTTACATCCAGGCAGCTCTGCTCAGTTTGCAGTTTTCATCTGCGTTAGGATCATGATTAGGGCTCCTGATATATTTAGCAGCTCTGCCGTTCGGTTTAACAGGTAACATTACATTCAATCCTAAAAATCAGATCTAAATACTTTTTGAAAGTTTATTTTCATAACTAAAGATGATTGTTTTGTGTCTCTTGCAGAACTCTCTAAAAACAGTGTTCAGCAGACTCCCACTGCCCTGATCAAACATCATGGAGATGAAGTCCAGATTAACTGCAGCCATTCAAACACTAATTTTGATATGATCCAGTGGTATAAACAGTCAGCTGGGGAAAATGATATGGCTCTAATTGGCTATGTGCAATTCTCTTCTGCAACTGTTGAAAATCAATTTAAAGAAACTTATAATGTGGCTGGTGATGGAAATAGTCTGGCACATCTTCATATTCCAAAGTTGAGTCGATCTGAGGACAGTGCAGTGTATTTCTGTGCTGCCAGTAAAGCACAGTGCTACAAAAACCCTCAGTCTTCAACAAAAACCCTCCCTGATGCAGCCAGATACTCTTTCTCAATCATTCACCTGCTAATTACCACATGAACGACAAATAAACCACATTGTGAATGACTGATAGACAATTTGCTCAGTATGAGACTCACAGATTCTCATTTTATTCGATAGGGTGCAGTGTTTCCCCACAGATCGTTTGATGTGTGATCTTTTTTCAGCAAACTGCATTTGGGTAAACAATAAAACACATAATTTCTGTCCACAAAGAGTGATCTAGATTAGATATTTATTAGCATTTACATGGATAACAAGTCAGGATGATAATATTTTAATGGTATTAGGGAACGTAACCTGTGTTTTTGAGAACACGTTTAAGCTAGCCGCTAAATCTGGAGTACACGTATCTGAGCCTTTATAGTAAATGCAGTTAAAAGGAGCAAAGCAGGGTTAGCGACTTTATTCTATCATTTTATCACTTTACAAAGTGTTACATTATGACAGTCTTATTTTAAGAGAGACTATTAAGTCTTGTACGCAATAGGAGCTAAACATACAAAATAATTGATCAAATTGTGTCGTACTAGGTGAATGTAATGTGAGAAGGGAGGATACACATGTGACAAAGTCTGGTTTTCAAAATAAGGTGTTAACACAACCTATACAGTATAGAAATAAGATTAATTGGATTTTATTCACAGGAAGTATAAAACATGTTAACATGTGTCCATTAAAAGGTAAATAAAATATTAGAGAAATTACTCACAGATTATTCTTTGATTTAGTGTTGCTGGAAAAACATTAAATCAATCAGCTGACTTTTTGCCGTTTCATCACCATTTATATCCATGCAGTATGTTTATGATCAAATTGTTTACTAGGCTACAAAATTTTTATCAAGAGTGCAAAATTCTTCATAGATCTAGCCTCTGTGTTTTGCGTTTAAAGTAGAAACAGTTGTTTGATAAGACTACTCACGAAAAAGAAGCATTCATGCGAGAAGCGGAGAAAGATGCAAACACCAGAGCGGCCTTTGTTTTTACAAGTTTTGTATGCTATTTAATCACTAAATACACTTTTGAGCAGTTTTGAGACGAGAAATCAACTGTGTTAGAACTTGAATATTGGCAGTTTTACCAAAGTTGATGGTGAATCAAAAATGTGCTCAAATGTTGTCGGGGTTGAGAAGCTCCACAAGTGCCCGCGAGGTCAGCGGTGGCAGCCGGCCGGCCGGTCACACCCACAGAGCGCCCTGGTCCCAGATACTCAGACCACTGCAGCAGCAACAACAACAGAGGAAAGGCAGTATTTCCTATTCGTTCATTTATTTGTGGCGACCCGCCACAATATCAACGCTGACGCCACATACTGATTTTGTTTTTATTTTACTAGGCCCATTTAAAATATTATTTGATTGCAGATCAGCGTCATAGCGCATTCGTGCAGCTCATCCTCTCGCTCGTCTCTCTCTCTATCATAAACACCGCAGCACAAATCTGTCCAACACAACGCTGGCAATGTCGGAGACCCAGCTTTAAATAAGTTATTAGTAATGAGTAATGGTTTAAAGTACATCAAGGAACATCTGGCTCGTGATGTAGCCTACAGAACATTCTCCACAGAGTTATTGCCTAAAACCTATAAGCACTTTTGAAAAATAAACTACAGAAGTAGTATGAAAGGGGGCTGGTACTTTATTGTTCTAAATAGACATTACATTGTTAGTGTACAGTTGTGGTTTTAGTACTTGCTTTTAATTTGCTTTTATTTTATATAGTTCCAAAGCAAAAATCTTTGTTAAACAGTTAAATGTTTTAAAGTTTGTTGATGCTGGCTTGATACTGGTGTGTTCATTCTGAATAGTAAACCGCGTTCACTTAATGATAACGTTACCTAGTTAGGCTGTGTGTTGGAGATCACTAATTCACTTGAAAGATATTTAATTAGTTAAATGGTTTAATTAAGGTTAGGGGGTGACAAAAATAATCGTGACTAGTCGACTAATCGAATAAATAATTAACAGATTAGTCGACTATGAAAATAGTCAGTAGTTGCAGCCCTATACTATATGCACGGTTATTATTATTGACAAGTTAGTAATTTACATAAACAAATGACACAGACTAACCACCATTTAGAGCATTTTTCTTGCACAATAATTTAACGAATGAAAACAACACACAAAAATGAAACTGCTGTTTTGTCCAACTGGAATTATTATAGTCTACTAATGGTAAGCTATAGTAGCCTATAAAATTATCTGAAATTATAATGAATACACAAACATTAGCACTAATCAAACCTTAACCACAGTGGTGTAGGCTAATATCAGAAAATGTTTTATTTGTTAAACAGCTGAATCTCAACTAATAAACTATCTGTAGGCAGATTATCCACATAAAGTGTAAACTGTAAAAAATATTGTTATACTAACATTATATTTTCAATTTAATGTTATAATATTTATTAATACACTCATTTATACTTTTACTTCTCCAGGTTGTGGATGTTTGTTTATGAAATGGTCAAAAATAAACAGGAAAATGCACAGATTTCGGTCAAAAGGTAACTCATTGCCTTTACTGTACGCACACCAATCATGCTTACTGTCGCGCAAAGTCATCCTCCAAAGGCCCATTCTGAGCCAGGAAAAACCCAGACGGGGACACTGTAGTTCCAGCATCAGGCTGGCAAATAACTGTGTTTTCTTACAGTCTTACATGTTTAAAGAACTCACTGTCCGCAGATTTAAAGTGCAAATACATGAGCGCATTAGATTTCAATGTAAGAAAACTTCTTTTTTGGGTACAAATCCCCTCAAAATATGTTTCCTAATTAAAATGAGGAAGAAAAATTTATAAATTATGAAACTTATTACCTCTCCAATACCTAATATATCAATAAATCATATCACAATATCAGTCAAAATAATCACAATACTGTTGAAAGGATATGAAACTACTAAAATCAAAAGAACAAGACAAAACTTATTGCAGGTGTGATCAAAACAAGATTTATGAAATATAGATTTTAAATTGGATTTATTGTAGAGCATTTCAAACCCTTTGTTAAGAAGATAAACAATAGATTCTGTTACACAAGGTGCACAGTTTTGATTTATCTAGGGATGTAACTACCACTTTCATTATTGATTAATTAATTACTTTTAATATATTACTTTGAGTAAATAAAGACAAACAAACAACAACAAAGTTACACGGATTCAAAATGAAAAACAGCAGAAAGTCCTCACATTTCATAAGTGGGGAACCAGTGAATGTCTGGATTTCTTTGATAAATTATTTTGCTTCTCAGAACTGCAATTGATTCTGTTGATCAACTCATCGATTAATATCATAAAATACATATTCACGAGGAATGTGCTTTAACATAATCAAAATCTCTGTCTCCTCCCCTCTAAGCTGATCCCTTAACGTCTCTT